CCGCGGTGGTATCGCGGACAAAGGCACGAGCACCCCAGACCCGGAAACGCGACGCGTCGCCAACCTTCCCCGTCCACAGCAGTGTGGGCGAGGTCTCCGGCAAGGAGACACGGGGCCAAAGGTTGAGCTGATGCGCGGCGTACCGGACCGCAAACGGCTACAGAAAATGGGGGGCAGCCGCATGGATCATGGAGGTACGAGCGACCTCCATGACTAAGCCAATGCGGCGCTCAGCAACCCCATTCTGCTGAGGAGAGGCTGGAAGCGTGAAAGTCTGGCGGATGCCGTGCTCCGCACAGAAGGCTGCCAAGAGGTCTGAGGAGAACTCACCACCTCTGTCAGAGTGCAGACGCAGGACAGGAAAGTCCGACTGGAACCGCTCGCGGAGCTGGAGACGAGTAGCGCGGATCCAGGGGATCAAAACATCAGGGACATCCCCCTTGCGCTGCAAGGGGAAGACCGTGGTGTAGCGCGTGTAGTCGTCGACAACCAGCAGGAAGTACCGCTCGTGGCCCTGTCCACGGACGCGGGCTGGGCCCCACACGTCCAGGTGGAGAGTCTGCAGTGGAGCCTCTGTGGGAGGGAACGAGGAGGAGTGAGGAGCGGCGCGCTGCCGCCCCTCGACGCAGGGAATGCAGGGCGGCGCAGGCGAGGGAGGGAGGGCAGGCAGAGACCTGGGAAGCCCAGAAACCAGGAGGCGGGAGTGCATGCTGCGTAAGCGAGGCAGGGAGGGGTGACCAAGGCGGTGGTGCCACAGGAGAGTGTCGTGCGACAGCCGGCGACACTCACACTGTGTAGCTACCTGAGCAGACGCATGCAACTGGGGAGACAAAGGGGCGGAGCGTGACGCAGTGGTGAGGGTGTACAGACTGGACCCCGGCGCACGAGCGAACGTGGTCAGGTGGCGACCAGTCTGGGAGCACGTGCAAATCGCCACACGCTGCCGGCCAGGGGTGAAGGTGTCAACCCCCGCATCATGGAGGACAGGGTTACTCACCAAGTTCGTAGAGAACGAGGGGAGGTGGAGACCAGACAGCTCACCAGACGGGACCGCCGGACACGGAAGCACAGTGGAAGACCGTGCAAGCACTGGGCCCCCAGAGGGGTCAGCCAGTGAGACAGGAACAGGTGCAGGGAGGGGAGTGACTGTGGTACTGTCGCGAAAAAAACAGCAGGAAGCACCAGAGTCAAGTGTAAAGGTGTGCAAAGCCTGTGCAGGCGCAGTACCAAGGGGAGCAGACTCACAAGCACCTAGTGCTGCAGGGGCTATACCAGGGGTTATACCAGGATCCGACGGCACACACAAGTAGCAGTCACCCTCAGCACTAACAGACAAGGCATACATAGCAGTGAGAATAGCAGCATAGTCAAGAGCAAATATATCTACCCTCTGCCCAAGCAGCTCCACCAAGTCGGGGAGCTCAGCCTCGTCGCCAAACTCGGTACGCCAGGCGTCACTCAGACGGGCGAAGCAGCGTGACTGGGTGTGACTAAGCGTCCCACAAGTCTGACCCATCCGATCTCCTGTGCGAATGACGTACGGGCAGCGAACGGTACTCAAAGACCCTCTACTCTGAGCGTACCACTCGTGAAGCTGCTGGGACGTAAGTGTCTCGCGTGGACGCGGCTGCAGCTGCAGTCGGCCACCGCCAGACGCTCCCAACTGACCAGCTCTAGGGCGATAGCTACGACGACTACCGCCACAACCCCAACTAGCGTACCACTCACGAAGCTGCTGGGGCGTGAGAGACTCGCGCGGACGTCGCTGGAGCTGCATCTGGCCACCGCCAGTACCAGTAGCAGTAGCCTAGCAGAGCAGGCGCGGCAGGCAGACAGGCAGGCAGGCAGGTAGGCAGGCAGACAGGTAGACAGGCAGGCAGGCAGGCAGGCAGGCAGGCTGGCAGGCAGGCAGGCAGACAGGCAGACAGGCAGGCAGGCAGGCAGGCAGGCTGGCAGGCAGGCAGATGGCGCGGCAGCGCGCTAACAAGGCAGGTGCTCACCAGTGTCGGGTAGAGCAGGCGCTCGCTGGGCGAGCAGGGCCGGCGCTCGGCGGGCGGCTGCACGGGGTCCAGGGGCGGCGTCGCGGGTCCAGGGGCTGTGTCGCGGGATCCAGGGGCGGCTGCACCAGGGGCGGCTGCTCTGGGTCCAGGGGCGGCTGCACCAGGGGCGGCTGCTTCAGGGGCCAGGGGCGGCTGCTCTGGGTTTAGGGGCGGCTGCTCGAGGGTCCAGGGGCGGCTGCTTCAGGGGCCAGGGGCGGCTGCTCGGGGTCCAGGGGCGGCTGCTCGAGGGGCGGCTGCTGCAGGGGCCAGGGGCGGCTGCTCTGGGTCCAGGGGCGGCTGCTCGAGGGTCCAGGGGCGGCTGCACCAGGGGCGGCTGCTTCAGGGGCCAGGGGCGGCTGCTCTGGGTCCAGGGGCGGCTGCTCGAGGGGCGGCTGCTGCAGGGGCCAGGGGCGGCTGCTCTGGGTCCAGGGGCGGCTGCTCCAGGGGCGGCTGCTGCAGGGGCCAGGGGCGGCTGCTCTGGGTCCAGGGGCGGCTGCTCGAGGGTCCAGGGGCGGCTGCACCAGGGGCGGCTGCTTCAGGGGCCAGGGGCGGCTGCTCTGGGTCCAGGGGCGGCTGCTCGAGGGGCGGCTGCTGCAGGGGCCAGGGGCGGCTGCTCTGGGTCCAGGGGCGGCTGCTCGAGGGTCCAGGGGCGGCTGCACCAGGGGCGGCTGCTTCAGGGGCCAGGGGCGGCTGCTCTGGGTTCAGGGGCGGCTGGACCAGGGGCGGCTGCTTTAGGGGGGGGGGCCAGGGGCGGCTGCTCCAGGGGCCAGAGGCGGCTGCTGCAGGGGCGGCTGCTCCAGGGGCAAGGGGCGGCTGCTGCAGTGGCGGCTGCTCCAGGGGCCAGGGGCGGCTGCTGCAGGGGCCAGGGGCGGCTGCTGCAGGGGCGGCTGCAGCAAGTAGCAGCAGCGGCAGCAAGTAGAAGCAGTGGTAGAGCAGCAACACAGGCGCAGTGCTGCGTGTAGGCCTGGCGTGGGCTGTACTGGCCGCGCGCGGGCCTGACGTGGCCTGTACGGGCTGCGCGAATGCCTAGCGCGGACTGTACGGGCCGCTCTCGGGCCTGACTTGGCCTGTACGGGCTGCGCTAACGCCTAGCGCTGACTGTACGGGCCGCGCGCGGGCCTAACGTAGGCTATACGGGCCGCGCGCGGGCGTGGCGCGGGCTGTACGGGCGGCGCGAAGGCCAGACGGGGGCTGTACGGGCTGCTCGCTGGCTACGCGCGACAGGACAGGGCAGGGCCGCGGGGCAGCGAAAATCGATGCACCTAAGGGCGCATTTCGGGCAGAAAAAAGCAGAGAACGAGATTCGGGCAGGAACACGGAAGGTTTAACGGTGGGCCCTAAAAAAAAAATCGTCCTAGGCTAGGAACGTCCTAGCTCTTAATACCATGTCATAATCTTACGGGAAAGTTGTGTGTCGACTATCGAAGGGGGAAGTACCCCACAAAGGAGAAACCTAAGGGGTTGTACCCCACAGTGAGTACCCCACTAAGCCTAACCAAACTATAACAAATATACACATATGTTTGACAGACTTTGATTAACACTGACAGTTGCTTGATACAGGTTCTTCAGGTGGTTGTACGCGAGCTCGGCGGAGTTGCCGTACCCTCGATAAGACCGGATGTTCTGCTGTTCGTTCGGAGTTATGTTTCGCAGAAGAATTGTATACGCCATCAGTGACTGATACGTGTACTGTTGCTTGTCGTACTGCGTCCCGTGTGTTGGGTATGGCAGGGATCCGTCGAAGAATCCGAGAATCTGCGCGCCTTCCATCATTAGCTCAAACTCGAATGACCAGGTATAGAAGTCATTTCCGTCAAAGGGTGTCGATGTCTGCAGTTTCAAAACGTGTGCGAACAGTGATTGAACCTGAAGCGCGTCCAGTGTCTTCTCTTGTCCAGGTGAAGGCTGTTGGTGTGGCATGTAGCTGATGGAGCCTCGTTGAGGTTCGTACGGGGCAAATGTAGGTTGCTGCTGGTTTCCGCGCGCATAGGATGAACCGTCAAGGCTCATTAGAGTAACCCCATTGTTATTGTCGCTGTTGTTTGATTGCGTAGGTGCTGCTTGCTGGTGCTGCTCGTAGAAGGACATGAAGGAGAAGAATTTCTCCATCATGCTTGGGTCGAGGCCTGCTGCCTGGTTAGCAAGAGTTTCTGTAGACTCAGCTGCTGGTCTTGTTGCTGTGCCTCCTTCCGTCTGTTGGCCAGAGGCTGGAGATGGAGTAGATGTAGTGCCGGGGGAGCCGCTAGAAGAGCTTATCTCCTTTTGCGTTGCCATGCCTTTTGATGTTGTAAAAGATTAAAAATGAAGTTGGATCTTGCCTTGTAGCTCTCATACCATGTTGGGCTGATAAAAGCCCTTAGGATCTTTCAAGGCTAAGACCCTGAGTAGGAATGTTGTAATTGCTGAAGCGTTCTTGGTGTGTGAGAACAAGAGATTGATCATAGCAAGGTAATACAGAGGTTTTTATAAGATTAAGAGGAATACGAAAAAGGTGCAACTAACTGGTTTGCGATTGCGGTTCGATACAGTGGCGACACTGGCAACTGCTCAATACCGAGTCAGTTGTTTGTCCTTGCTATCGCACTGTATTTCGTCGAGTTAAAGGTCAGCGACCTCTGACCTTCGTGTAACCTCCAGCTATTACTTTCTGTCAACCTCCTCGATTGACTCGCCGTTGCTCCGCTGCGATTCGCCTCGTTTGTAGTCTATTGTTTCGACACAACAGGAACGTTAAATTGCTTGTTTCCAACACCTTTGTGTTCACCCAAAAGCCCGTGGCTCAAGGAGTCTTTGTCCATGCATGAACAAGGAGTGGCGGAGAGGCAGTGCTCAAGGAACGGCATTGCCTTGCCCCATACAGGTACATGATTTTTTAGACGTCTCAAAAATGAACAAGGATTGGCGGAGTGGTAATGCTCAGGAACGGCATTGCCTTGCCCCATAAAGGAACACATTAGGTCAACGCCTGTGCCCGCTCTTATCATACGACCTGCACCACACCGCAACAGGCATGAGGCAAGCACAGCGCAAGGCGGGGAAGGGGAGGGCAACGGGGGGGACGGGTGGGGGAGGGGGGGTTTGGGGTGTTGGGCTTTAAGGGTCACTTATCACAAGAGCTGCACTAGAGTACAGCAGGATATCAAACTGAGTTCTGAGTCGACTCAAAAGTCTGGGGTGTTGGGCTTTAAGGGTCACTATCACACGAGCTGCAGTAGAGTACAGCAGGGAGGGTGGAGGGGGACGAGGGGAAGGGCGAGGGGTGGGGGGGGGGGGCTGGGCTATGATGACCTGACCAGTATGATACGACCTGCACCACACTGCACCGCACCATGGCAGCACCCTTCCTGCACTTTACCGCCCACAACCAGCAGCAGCAGGCAATGGGGAGGGAGACAGACAGGTAGAGACTCACATGTGTGCGCCTGTGGGCCCCGCACCCCCCATGACAGCTCCTCCCCAGCCCCCCCCTTTTCTCCCCCACTAGCAGCAGCATGCAATGGGGAGGGAGACAGACAGATAGAGACTCACATGTGTGCGCCTGTGGGCCCCGCACCCCCCATGGCAGCAGCACCCATGGCAGCATAACCCAACCCCCCTCCCCTAACCAGCACTACCAGCAGCACCACCACAGCAGCAGTATGCAGAGGCGAATAGAGACTCACATGTGTGCACCTGTGGGTGCGGCACCACCAGCGGCAGCAGCAGCAGCGACGGCAGTGATGGCAGCTGCATGTGTTCTCGCTGCTGCCATTGCCATGTGCGCCCCTCGCCCTATGCCCATGCCTGTACTAGCACCAGCAGCAGCCGCAGCAGCAGCATGCAATGGGGAGAGGGATAGAGACTCACATGTGTGCGCCTGTGGGGCCGGCACCACCAGCGGCAGGAGCAGCAGCGGCGGTGGCAGTGATAGCAGCTGCATGTGTTCTTGCTCCAGCCATGCGCGCCCCTCGCCCTATGCCCATGCCCGTACCAGCACCAGCAGCAGCAGCAACAGTAGTGAGACTCACATGTGTCCTGTTGTCGGCGCTGCACCCCCAGCGGCAGCAGCGGCAGCTGTGGCAGTGATCGCAGCAGCATGTGCTCTCGCTGCTGCCATTGCCATGTGCGCCCCTCGCCCTATGCCCATGCCCGTACCCGCACCAGTACCACCAGCACCAGCAACGCCACCGGCACCACCAGCACCGGCAGCAGCAGCGGCAGCACCAGTAGCACCAGTAGCAGCGGATCCAGCTGTTGATGCTACTGCTCCTCCCGCTGCTGCTGGTGGGGCATCAGCCACAACCTGGTGGAAGTGGGTACAGGCCAATGCAAATCGGTGGGATGCGGTGACAATGGAATTTCTAGTGTGAGAGGCCAATGCAAATCGTGCTCCCCTCCTCCCTTCCCTTAAATCTTCCATTTTCTCCTGCCTCATATGAAGCCAGTGCCATTTGTTTTATCTTTCTGTATCCTCAATCAATTATGATATAATGTCATTGAATCTGTACCTTGTCCCATTTGCTCCTCTTCCCGCCTCTTGTCAACCCATCCCCACCACCAGCACCACCAGTGCTTCCCCGCACAACACCAGGAGCTGAACCAACTATGCCTGCTCCCACACCAGCAGCAGCTGCACCTGCTGTCGCCACTGCCCCTCACTGTCCACATTGTTCCTCTTCCCCTTATCCCCAAACCCCCAACCTCAACCCTTTCCAAATGTAACATACCTTATCCCATTTGCTCCTCTTTCCGCCTCTTGTCAACCCATCCCCGCTAGCACCACCAGCAGCACCGGTGCTTCCCCGCATAACACCAGGAGCCGAACCCATTATGCCTGCTCCCACACCAGCAGCAGCTGCACCTCCTGTTGTTGCTGCCCCCATTGCTGCTGCCATTCCTGCTGTTGCCGCTCCTGCTGCTGCTGCTGCCCCTGCTGCCAATGGTTGCCCAGGTGCCATCCCCCCTGCTCCGCCTGCTGCTGCAGCTGCAGCATCTTGAACGGGTTGGGCTCCTGGTTTGGCAGATGGAGGGAACAAATGGGAAAGACGTTTCAGGCCCTCAAAACTCCTGCTGCTGCGGCTCCTGCTGCCAATGGTTGCCCAGGTGCCATCCCCCCTGCTCCGCCTGCTGCTGCAGCTGCAGCATCTTGAACGGGTTGGGCTCCTGGTTTGGCAGATGGAGGGAACAAATGGGAAAGACGTTTCAGGCCCTCAAAACTCCTGCTCCTGCTGCTGCGGCTCCTGCTGCCAATGGTTGCCCAGGTGCCATCCCCCCTGCTCCGCCTGCTGCTGCAGCTGCAGCATCTTGAACGGGTTGGGCTCCTGGTTTGGTAGATGGAGGGAACAAATGGGAAAGACGTTTCAGGCCCTCAAAACTCCTGCTCCTGCTGCTGCGGCTCCTGCTGCCAATGGTTGCCCAGGTGCCATCCCCCCTGCTCCGCCTGCTGCTGCAGCTGCAGCATCTTGAACGGGTTGGGCTCCTGGTTTGGCAGATGGAGGGAACAAATGGGAAAGACGTTTCAGGCCCTCAAAACTCCTGCTCCTGCTGCTGCGGCTCCTGCTGCCAATGGTTGCCCAGGTGCCATCCCCCCTGCTTCGCCTGCTGCTGCAGCTGCAGCATCTTGAACGGGTTGGGCTCCTGACGAGGCAGATGGGGAACACATGAGAAAGACTTGCCTAAAAAACACCTCCTGATGCCACTTGTGATGAGGCGATTTTTGAGTCGACTAAAAAATCCACTCCTGCAATTAAGGCCCCTGCTTTGCCCCTTTTCTAAAACTCTTATCTGTCCGCCCTTCTGCCTCTCATGTAATGTGGCACCGAGCGGTGCAGAGAGATGCAAAGTGGTGCACTGCACTGCACTGCACCTTACAAACAGAGAATAAATTTGGGAGGAGCAGCAATGAGCTGCACAGCGGTGCCGCCTCTCTGGGATGTGGTAGAGAGCGGTGCAGAGCAGTGCATTACCTTTAGGGGGAGCAGCTATGAGTTGCACCACAGTGCCCCCTTGCTGGAACTCTATCTGCCCGCCCTTCTCCCTCCTCTCCTGCTCCTTACGCTCCATCTCCCATGAACCAAGAACCGCATCACCACAAAGCCGTGCTGAGAGATGCAAAGCGGTGCACCATTGCAAAAGCATTACCTTTAGGAGGAGCAGCTATGAGTTGCACCACAGTGCCCCCTCGCTGGAACTCTATCTGCCCGCCCTTCTCCCTCCTCTCCTGCTCCTTACGCTCCATCTCCCATGAACCAAGAACCGCATCACCACAAAGCCGTGCTGAGAGATGCAAAGCGGTGCACCATTGCAAAAGCATTACCTTTAGGAGGAGCAGCTATGAGTTGCACCACAGTGCCCCCTCGTTGAAACTCTATCTGCCCGCCCTTCTGCCTCCTCTCCTGCTCCTTACGCTCCATCTCCCTCCTCTGCTCCGCCACTGCCCACGGACCATAAGAAACATGACCACAGAAAAGAGTGGTGCATAGAGATGCAAAGCGGAGCACACATGCCCACATGCATCATGAGCCATGACCGCATGCATATTTCAAATGCCGATGTCATACATGGCACATATGGCACATGCAACATGCCACATGCCACATGCAACATGCAACATGCCACATGCCACATGCAGCACAGAGCATGCCGAATAGCAACAATAATTGCAAGGTTGTAAACCGAAAGTAAGTATGAGAAACCATGAGGAAATTATTTACTCTGGATACTGAAGTGTTACAAATGAATACAGCTAAACCAAACAGACCATTTAAGATGCAAGACGTGGCATATTTTTTAAAACGGCTTTTAGCTAAGTAAGTTCCAGACAGGCACAAATCAATCAAGCATGAGGAGGCGTACCAAGGGCGTCATAGTAGTCAAGACGGTCAAAGCCATGGGGATTAAAGACGTCCTTAGAAAAGCAGGAGCCATGTTCGTCTATACCCTCATGCTTCACTACCTGTAGCGAGAGAAAGAGAGAAAACGGGAGAGCCAAAGGCCAATGGGAAGTGGATAGAGGGACAAACAGACCGTTGCAGTTGCCCTTGGAGTCGAGTAGAGCAACGGTGACAACCCTCCTGGTCCTCCCAACACAGTCACACCCCTCTCCCCCACCCACCCATCTCATTCCCACCTGCTGCATGAAGTCAGGGTTGCGGTAGCCCTTGGAGTTGCGTAGAGCGTCGTTGATGCTCCTGCCAACGAACCCTCGCAACACACTCACACCCCTACCTCCTCTCACACACACCCCAGCACATCCCTCCCAACCCAACCCTACCTCCTCTCCCCATCCCAACCCACACCTGTTGATGGAAAGCAGAAAGCAGTGTCCAGAACAGAATCTAAGAAACATTTAGATTACCTCTGCTGCGATCAGAAGTTGATCGTAACCAGGATCACCTCAGGAAGGTTCGCATACAACTAGGTAATGGTGGTGAGCCCTTAACCTCAAATCAGAGTGAATGTAAAATGATTGAGATAATTAAAACTGTCAGATGTCCACTGGTGATCCCCGATTGATCATAGGGAAGGGTTACAGGCATGTTGTCTTGGGGGGTAATGGGCGCACTGATCCGCTATTTAATAAGCCATTTTATCTCAATTGTCTAGTAGTTGAGTTTCTAACATGGTATTAGAACGAAGGTCTCGGGTTCGAATCCCAGTGTGTGCACTTCGGGCATCCCAGTGCGGGGGGGTGTCAGAGGTCCACTGGTGATCCCCGATTGATCATAGGGAAGGGTTACAAGCATGTTGTCCTAGTGGTTGGGATTCTGACAAAAACATGGAAATACAAGAATACGGTATAAATAAGAGTACAGGGTGGAATACGAAACGACCTAGCTAGCCATGTACTCTAAGGGGTACATTCCCTTATTGCAGCGAAACTTAACCGTGCGACTCCAGACGGTTATGAAACTGTCCGGGCAGAATCCTCGCCACTGCTGCTGCCTGATGCTGTCTGCCTTGACGACCCAGATGCTTCGTAACCGTATGACCCTTTGCGTCACTTCCGCCCTTTCGTCTTCAGCCTCGGTACTGCATGCTTCGATTGCTACTGTTAGGAGTGCACACTAATGTTTTATCTTCTACTATTCGTATCACCCACCTTCACTCCTGGCCGTAGCGGGTCTTGACCCGCTTGACTACCCCGCTGAGTTCGGAGCAGTGCTGGTACTGCTGACGTGACTGTCGCTTCGTGAGGAAGTCAGCTGCCATGTCACCCGGCGGACAATAGGTTAGGTCAACCTTGCCCTTGTCAACTTCGTCCTTGACGAAGAAGTACCGCAGCGCAATGTGTTTGGTGCGGTTGACGAATCCAGGTTTGTTCGCGATCCTGATCGCGCTCTGATTGTCGCAGTGTAGGCGAAAGGTGGGCGAAGATGAGATTTTCGCCTCATGAAGGAGCTCCTGCAGGTAGAGCCCTTCGCGAACGGCTGCCGTCGCGGCGATGAATGAGCTGTTGGCTCGAGGCGGAACAAGAACCCAGTTCTGGACCGTCGATTATCGGGGTCATCAGCATGATCGGCATCCACGTAGCCGACGAGGATAAAGGAGGAGGTTGGGACTGTGGAGTAGCAGAGCCCGACATTGGGCGTTGAGATGAAGAACTGCAGTGCCTGCTGAAGTTCTAGGAGATTCTTAGCCGTCGGTTTGCGGGAGTACTGAGCCAGTTGGCTCGCGATTTACGAGAGATCGGGCCTGCAGGTAACAGAGGCAAAGAATAGGCACCCCAGTTGTTGTCAGGCTTGTGGTTGGGTCCTGGAGTGCGATAAGGGGTGGAGAGTGGTGCAGGCGCGATATCGAAGTGCTTGCCAAGTTCCTCTGCATACTTGGCTGCTGAGAGATGAATGGCTTCTGGCGAGTAAGAGATGTTGAGGCTGAGAAACTGCTTCACGTCGTGGTTGCAGGTGATGTCAACGCGCCCCGCGAGTTTTTTCTCGAACTGCTCAAGCAGTTCGTTGCTCGATCCTGTATAGAGGAGGTCTTCGACGTAGAACGTGAGCAGGATGTATTCACCGCGGAAATCGCGGCGATACATTCATGGGTCGTGAGGCAGCTGCTTGAAGCCTATCTCAAGCAGGATGTTGTGCAGGTACTGCTGCCAGAGCCTTGGCGCCTGTTTGATCCCGTAAAGGGACTTTCGCAGCTGGCACACGCGTGAATCTCCCTTGCCGTATGTGTGCGGCTGCTCCACATAGATTACAGCATCCACTAACGCGTAGAGGAACGCGTTCTTCACATCGATCTGTCGTAGCAGGAGGTGTCGTGCAGGAGCGATGGCGAGCAAGATTCTGACGGAGGTATGACAGCTGACCGGCACAAACGTCGGGTCAAAGTTGATGCCGTGCCTCTGGTTGTACCCGTGCATGACCCAGCGTGCCTTGAATTGCTCGATTGTGCCGTCCGCTGCGATCTTCACGCGGAAGACCCATTACCCGTAGAGAATCCTTCTCCCCTTAATTGCCGCTCGATCGACGAGCACCCAGGTTTCGCGGGACTCGAGTGCCTTGATTTTCGCATCCATCGCCTCGCGCCATTCCTTGCTGTGTGGTCTTGTGAGTGCTTGGCGCAGACTCTTTGGCCTGATGACACGTGGCGCCGTTGAGGTGGCGGTGTGAAGCCCAAGAAGATGCAGTCCAGAGACGGTGCTGTCGTGGCGATGCTGCGGGATGACCTCCTGCACCTCATCGTCGTCGCTCTCTGGTTCAGGTGGTGCTGGTGGTGCTGCGCTTCTGTCGCTTCCTCCCGCTGCGCCCACTCCTCCTCCAGAGGAGTCGTCATCATCGTCGTCACCGCCGTGGCGGTCACCTCCTGTGAACTCGCCTCTGGTGTCCTGCTCCAGAATGGCTGCTCCAGCTTCGTCCTCAGGTGAGGCGTAGCTGTGCCCGTCGTTGGCGTAAACGCGATTCGCGTTCGTCTGCTCGTCTTCGCGGAATTGCTTGAGGAAGAGCCTGCCCGTAGAAGATGACGCCGCGCGCGTTTGCGACCTTCTGGCTCATGAGGTCCAGGATGAGCCACGCCTTGTGCTCGTGGCTGATGCCGAGGTGAATCCCCCAGCGTGCGCGGCTTGCGAATTTCCTGATAGTTGACGTTTGCTGGCAGTACTGTACCATGCATCTCCACACGCGGAGCATGGATATGTCGCCCTTGGTCCCCGTCCACTTTAGATGCGGTGACAAGTTGCCGGTGATAGCAGTGGTTGACAGCAAGTTGTGCACCCGCACGGCGTGGTGCATTGCGTAGGTCCGGTATGTTGGCGGAAGCTTCGATTGCTTCATCAGCGCCCGCACCTTCGTCAGGAGCGTGCGGTTCGTGCGCTCAGCTACACCTTGCTGCTGGTGTGCGTAGGGGAGGGAAATGTGATGCTCGATTCCCTTCTGCGCCAGGTAATCCTGCAGCTCCTTGCTCCTGAATTCCGCAGCGCCGTCCGATTGCCAAATTTTCAGCTTCTCCCCAAATTGCCGCTGCGCGTGCGCCAGCCAGAGGCGGAAGACTCCGTACGCTCTCCTGCGTGCTTCCACGTTTACGATCCAGACATAGCGCGTTCCTATGTCGACAAAGGTGAGCGTATACAGCTCTTCGTTGATTCTGCAATGCCCCACGTTGAGGAAGTCGCTGTATACCTTGTGCAGCTTGGGGTAGCGGTTGGTTCCAGGTTCGAGCAGCGGGAACGGCTGGTGACTCAGCGCAGCTTCGGGACAGAAGGTGCAGTTGCGCGGCTGTGTTGTGCTACTCACTTTGGTGCCATCTAAGCGCAGGAGTGCGCCAGGCGCAAACACGCCAGCCTCGATGCAGTTCTTTAGCGTTACGCGCAAGGGGTGACCAAGGCGCTGGTGCCATAGGTCATCGTTGGCGTGGAATCCCAGGTGCGCATGTAGCGCGCGTGTGCTGCTGCGGGGTCCTCGTCAGGTGCTTGGGCAGGTTCCGCCGCTGCTTCTTCAGCTTCTTCTTCTTCGTTCGTCATCGTCAGCATCAGCGCCAAGAATTTCCTGTCAAGAATTACAAAGAAGGGAATATTAGTCCCGAGGATGGTTCCAGGGACAAAGGTTGGTTCGCGCGGCTCGGGGGCAAACCCGTAGACGATGCGCCGCGGGGTAGAGGGCTCGTTGCCCCAGTCGATGGTGTCCCAAGGGTCGCGGTGCGGTTGGATGTCAGGTGGGGGTAGTGCAGGTGCACGGCGGTGCGGAGGGCGACCAAGAGGAACAACAGGAGGTTCTGCCTCGTTTTCTTCTTCCCCCCTTTGGTCCTCACGGGAAGCTCCCCAGCCTTCACCGGAAGTGCCCCAACCACTTATCTCGCCGCCAGATGCGGCGCCCCATCCGCCAGTATTGCCACCAGTTGCGGCTCCCCATCCGCCAGTGTCGCCACTTGTTGCGGCTCCCCATCCACCAGTGTTGCTCGTACCCCATCCACCAGCGCTTCCCCACCCCCCTTCATTGAAGGAGCTCTCCTCTTCCTCCCATCCGCTCCAGGCGAACGTGCCACACGACTCCGCAAGACTCCGTTGGCGAAGCTCTTCCGCTTCGCGTTGCGCCAGTTTTTCTTCTTGCGCCACGGTAAGCTTCTTCGTAGATTCGCGCAGGTGATAGTAGATCTCTATGAAATTCTCCTTTGTGTAAGGACGCGGCACGCGGTGCGCATCGAAGGTGCCGACACCGGTACTACGTAGCATGCCCGAAAGGTGTTGTGATGCTGGTCCGGGGAGGGGATGTTCTTCCGTTCCAAAGATGCCGCGTGTTGCAATTTCGAGCTCCAAGGTTGACATTCCTTCCTCAGGAGGTGCGAGTCGTTCTGCTTCGGCGATGGCGGCAAGGCCGCCGCTGGTGGGGGCAGTGGGCGTGTGGCAATCTCTGCAGATGCCGTCGGGGTCTGGGTTATGCAGCGCTAGCTCACGTGGGTGCGGGTGATGCGGCACCCATGGTCGGCCGTCAGGATGTTTCCAATCCGATCGGTGAATGTGCTCGAAGCGCAGAGGAACGAGATCAATGAGCTCCTGCGAATCGCCGCTGCAGTCGGGAATGTCGGAATCGAGGATGTAGACTCCATTTTCGGAGTGCCCTTGCCCGATATGCTTGTGCGCCTTGTTCGGCGCGGTGTAGTGGAGCAGGATGTCGCGTGTCTCGGGGTCGGTGCTGAGGTCAACTCCGCAGTCCATGAGTTGCGCAAGTTCTGCACAATCAGCACGTCGTTCAGCGTGATGTGCGTCCTGCTCCCTCTGGTCTTGAGAACCACGATCCCTTGCGCGCAGTCGTGTGTTGTTCGCCACGGTGATATAGGTCACTGCGGGAGTGGGGATGGCGTTGGATATGTAACGCTCAGAGCCCACCATATGCTGCCCACATCAGCTATCCAGGTACCACGTGTTGTAGCGCCTGTTGTCGTTACGTGCGAGCAGCGCCAGTCGCGGCGTAACGATGTAAGGTGTGTCAAACTTGAGGAATTGTTCGCGCGAGATCCAATCAATAGGAGCCGCCCGCTGATTAGGTACATGCGGGGGACTTTCAAGCAGCAGGACTGGGAGATTCCAGTCTGGGTGACGTGCTGGCTCAGGTGACGGCGTCCGCACGCGGGGACGACGCGACCCGCTTGTCATAGTCGTGCTGCCTGGATGGGGGCAGTCTGTGGCGGCTGCTGCTGCTGATGATGCTGAACCGTTGGGTTCAGGTTACGCGATGGGGGTTGGTGCACCTGGGCTTGACGCGTGTCGTTTCGTGCGTCTTGTCGGCCGGACCAGTTGCTCGGATTGGTCTAGCGAGGGCGAGATCGGAACTTGCATCGATCTGCCAGGTGCCCGAAGTTTCTGCAAATCTTGGAGTAAAGGCGCCACGGTCGTCGCTCTTCTGTGTTGTCGACATAGAAGGCGAGGCGTTCCCGGTCTCGTCGCGGCGCTGGTCGCTGCTGATCCATATCCCTTTGTTTGACGAGAAGGGCGGCGCATAGGGCGGCCTCCGAGATGACCCCTGCTGTCGGAGAAGCGCCTTGCAGGGCCGCCATTCTGGGCCGAGCCCTTGAAGCACGATATTTATGAAGATTTCTTCGGAAATACTGCTTCCCAACTTCGCGATTTGATCGCGTAAGCTCCGACAGCGATTAATGTAGCTGTTGGCCTTCTCCATTGGGGCCATTTTTGTCTCCAGTAGCTGCTGGAGCAGGCGGCTCGACGAAATCGAATCTTTCGGTTGGTACACGCCATTCAGGTGGCGCCAGGCGTCGTGGGCTGGAGCAGGTGGTGTCTTGTACAATCGAATGCTCAACTGCTCCGCCGGCGACATGTTCCGCAGTGAGACGCCGTACGTCACCAGCGACTCGTTGTAGTACTGAGCCCTGGCTTCAGCGGTGTCTTAAGCAGGTCCCGAGTAGCTCCCGTCAAAATAGTGGAATATCTGCGCGTTTTGTAGTAGCAGCTCTAGCTCGAAGCTCCACGTATAGAATTCTCTGCCGTCAAAACACACATTTGTCTAATTTTTTTATATGCTCAGAAACCTTGATTGCGCAGAGAGAATTGCTTCTTCGCTGGGACGGGGAGTCTTGGGTGTTGAGCCATTTGTGTCGAGGGAGAAGGTGTGCGGGGTGGTATTGTGGCCGTTCGAGGCCGGTTGAGAGGGTTGGGAAGATGTTCCCGCGTCGCCATTCCGCAATATTTGGAGTCCTTGCTCCAGTTTGGTGAGTCGCTAAAGCAGTTGTGCGAGGACGGCGGTTCCAATCGTCGTCGTTTCCTCGCTTGTCGCAGCTGGGTTGGGCTGCGCTTTAGCGGTCAGATTCGTCTGACCACCAGATCCTCCGGCCATTCTTACACGCCCAGCGTGTGCCGGACGCCACCTTAGATCGCCGAGGATTTCGGAGGTGGCAGTGCGAAGGATTCCTGAGTCGATCTCATACCATGCTGCAATCAGAAGTTGATCGTAACCAGGATCACCTCAGGAAGGTTCGCACACAACTAGGTAGTGGTGGTGGGCCCTTGACCTCAAATCAGAGTGAATGTAAAATGATTGAGATGATTAAAACATGCAAATACAGGAATATAAATAAGAGTAGAGGGTGGAATACGAAACGACCTAGCTAGCGATGTACTCTAAGGGGTACATTCCCTTATTGCAGCGAAACTTAACCGCGCGACTACAGACGGTTATGAAACTGCCATAGCAGAATCCTCGCTACTGCTGCTGCTTGATGCTGTCTTCCTTGACGGTCCAGATGCTTCGTAACCGTATGATCCTTTGCGTCACTTCCGCCCTTTTGTCTTCAGCCTCGGTACTGCATGCTTCGATTGCTACGGTACTGTCAGGAGTGCACAGTAATGTTTTATCTTTTACTATTCATAACAACCTCTTCCCATACAGGCACGCCCCTACCTATGCGCTTCTTAATCGCCTCCTGACTCGCCACCCCATCCAACGAGTCCAACCCGAAAACTGGCTTCAAAGATCCAACATGGTTACCAACATCACCATTACCAGAATATAAACAACGTTTAGATTGCCACTTCCCATACAGGCACTCCCCCATCTATCCGCTTCTTAATCGCCTCCTGACTCTCTACCCCATCCAACGAGTCCAATCAAAAAATAGGCTTCAACAATTCAGCCCTACTACCAACACCACCGCCCGTAACATCCCCACCTGCATCTGTATTAGCCGCGTTGCCATGCTGATTCTGCAAGCTGGGGCAACTGCTGTTGTTGTAGCTAGTTTCCCTTCCATTGCTGCAGCCATCTGCATCTCTCCCAATGCTACCATTCACTTCCCTCCCACTCCCGCTGGTCCCATTACCCACCTCCCTCCCACTGCCCCCATTCCCCAGCTCCCTGCCACTGCTGCTGAGCGAGACACGCCGCCCATTGACCAGCATGGAGCGCGCACGTGTCAGATGCTCATTGGTTGTTATTCCGTGTGATTCCCTTTGCACTAATGAGAGGTAGGTCTCCGATTCTAGGAAGGCCTTCATCCTGCCATCACTCCACGGGAAGGTTTGAGATGAACAGGTATGATTACAACGAAATCATGTCAGAGTGACTTTTGAGTCAACTCAAAAGTCACCTGAAAGTGTGTCAGAAGCACTTTGACACAGGCATGTGAATGGCAATCCTGGCCAAGAAGGTGTGCTAACCATACGGCAGGCCCCTCTCACCTCTCTGACATGGCATTGGTCTGCTCAAATCGGTGTAAAGTGGTGCAAACAGGTTACGGTGTAAAAAGGTGTAAAGGGGTCCCTTCACTCACCTCTCTGACACAGGGTTGGCCTGTTCCTCTGCTGTCCAGGTGATGACTCTCACGGCGTGGCTGCTGGGGGAGGTGGTATCTGAGGTGCTGCTGGGAGAGGTTGTATCTGGGGTGGTGCTGGGGCTGGTATCCAATGAGGTGCTGCTGGGGGAGGTGGTATCTAGCGTGGTGCTGGTTGAATCATCGGTGGCTGAGCGAGCGAGTCGCAACCCCTGAGGTGACAGCAAGGGAAAAAGGGGCACGCACAGGGAGAAGCAACACAGGTACTGTCAGTATTGGGGCTGCTGCGAGCATAATTCTTGAGGAGTCTTGAAAAAAGCTCCTGAGGTGGCAGCATGTGACAGCCTGAGGGAATGGCAGCATGTGAGGCGACTCGACTGTAACAAGCAACACCCGGGGTGTCACTATAGGTCGTGCAAGAGCCTTTTTGAAACGTCTCAAAAATCTACTTTCTACACGGGGTGTCAGTATAGGTCATGCAAGAGCATGAAATCCAGCTAAGAGGGATCCTAAAAGTTTTTGAGTCGTCCCAGAAACAACTCAAGAGGGATCCGGGAAGTCCCCAGAGCCTTTTGCATGGAAAGCTAAAGCCAGAAAGAGGAAAGGTGAAGGAGGAAAGAGGGAGAAAGGGGGAGGGAGACAGGTTCGTGGAGCATAAGGGAGTTCAGTGGGGAAGGCATAGATTGGTAGAGAACAAGGGTGGAGAGAACAAGGGTGGAGAGAACAAGGGTGGAGAGAACAAGGGTGGAGAGAACAAGGGTGGAGAGAACAAGGGTGGAGAGAACAAGGGTGGAGAGAACAAGGGTGGAGAGAACAAGGGTGGAGAGAACAAGGGTGGAGGAAGAGGGGAAGGAGGGGAGGTGGGGGAAAGGGAAAGGGTAAAGGGGGGTGTCAGCACTCACAGCACACTGAATAGTGTGTGACACGTCAGCAAGCGACTTTGCCAGTACATCCGCCTCCATGTCCCGAACCAGCACTCGAAACCGAGCCTCCACCTTTGGTTGGGCATGTGGAGGGTGGTGCAGATAAGGGTACGTGGATAAGGGTAGTGCGGTAGATAAGGGTAGTGCGGCGGATAGTGTTGGGTAGGGGCATAAAATGACAATGCAAGGACAAAGTGTGAAAGCACGCATTGATGTTTCATCAACACCACATAGCATCTCATCAACACCACATAGCATCTCATCAAAGCCACAGAGCATCTCATCAAAACCACAGAGCATCTCATCAAAACCACAGAGCATCTCATCAACACACCTGTGGGTTGAGGAAACGGTTGCCAGGGGGGGCGTACATGACGGCATTGTGGAAGTACCATGTAAAGGACTGCATATAACTAGGTGGCCTTCAGTCACTCCCCAGGGACTGACTCTCGCATGATGTCTCACCGACACACCTGTGGGTTGAGGAAACGGTTGCCAGTGGGGGCGTACATGACGGCATTGTGGAAATGCAGGGGGCGATTCACCACCGCATCAAACTCGCCCTCCTGTGCCTGCCGTGTGGGGCATGGGGAAAGAGGGGTGTGGTGAGGGGCGTGAAGCGTGGGGCGCGTGATGTGAGGAACAAGGCATGCGAGCGTTTGTGGCAGATGGAAAGGGACAAGCGGAACGTCTAGAATCGATTCTCACCATCACTGAGCCAGAATTGCCTTCCTGTGCCTACTCTGGTGTGTGTGGTGTGGAGCTTATGCATATGGTGAAACAAAATTCACAACGCGATTTGATTCGCCATAAGAAACGACATGCCTCACCATGCGATACAGCAAGTTGCCAAATTCGATCGCAACCCCCAGCCCTGGCATGTGCTGGCCTGGCAGTAGGGTTTCTGGCGAGAGGGGGGAAAGTGGGAGAGCGGCGGAGGGAGAGGAGAGAAGGAGAGAGAGAAGGAAGGTGAGGGCAATAGGGACTCGATGGGAGCCCCCGGCCATGGAATGTGCTGGCCTGGCCTGGCAGTAGGGTCTCTAGGAAAGAACATGACAGGAGGATAGAGGAGGGGAAGGGAGGGGAGGGGAGGGGAACAGATGGTTTTGACTATTAAGTCAACCTTGGAGGAGCAAGATAGGGGAATGGAAAGGAGGAAGTCGAAAAGAGATGAAAACATATTAGTCAGAAACATCCGCTTGAAGGAGTTGAGCCTTGACTTTGAGCTTGAGATCCCAAACGACGCCCCAATGCCTTCACCTCATTTAAGGCCTCCACAGCCCACCTGTCCGTTACTGACACGTCACCTCATCTAAGATGCACTTTGAAAATTTCCCTGCGAATCTCTTCAGAGCGCATCTCGAAGCCTTTGCCACCCCATCGCACAGAGAAAAGCAAGCATTTTGTTTACTGCTCTCATCTTACCATCACAAGCCGCAAGAGGGTCCTGCAGCAGCAGCAGCCAGTCCGCGAGCAGCAGCTTGAGCGCTTTCAAAGCAGAGCGCATTGTCTGATGATCAATGAATGTTATCGGCACTCACCATCACAAGACGCAAGAGGGTCCTGTAGCAGCAGCCAGTCAACTAAGAGAAGCCTGAGCGGATGGTACTCGCCCAGCCCACTCTCCCACGCCTTCAGCACTGCTGCCCCCTCGCCTATCACCTCGCTGGGTCTCACAGCCTGTGGGTGTAGGGATGGGGTGAACAGTGGAAGGAGAAAAGAAAGAAGGCAGTTGACCAGACCTTTTCTGGGGAGATGAAGATATGTGTCTGATGGCATCTGGGGAGTACCACCCTTTTCTGGGTCGCATGCATCTGGCTGATGAAGGTCCGATCTGGTTTTTCCCCCGTGATAGGCCGAAAGGTGTTTGTCTTTGACTTGTTTTAACCAAGAGACGAGTTCCTTCCTTCGCAAGCCTTCTCTTTAGCTGAGAATTCAGTTTAATGGACAAATATTAAAGGCTATGATTATACTGTTAAAAGTATCTCCATCTCGCTGCTCTTCCCCGATGAGTGAGGGCCCGTGGGACCTCACATTCGTGCATGCAAGGCAGTTGACCAGACCTTTTCCTGGCAGATGAAGATATATGTCAGGTCGCATGCATCTGGCTGACGCATGCTTGAAAGCAGCATGGGTTACACAACGGGGTATGCCTCAACCGAACGAAGCAAGCACACTCACATGCAGCAGGGAGGTGGAGGTGAGGATTCGTAGGGCGCACTCGCACAGGGGTTCCGGGGCTGCTGGGGTGGTCCAGAGCATCTGACAGGCGGGGAAGAAATGGAGAGAGTTGATAGGCGTGAGTGAGAGGGAGTGGCAGCAGGGAGGTGGAGGTGAAGATGCGCAATGCACGCTCACAGAGGGGCTACAGGGCTGCTGGGGTGGTCCAGAGCATCTGAACAGGGGGCGAGAGTGTACAAAGGGTGTCCATGGGAGGGAATAAGGGGTAGGGAAGGGAAGTGGGTGTCAGAATACGCAGTGCCCTCTCTGGTTTCTACACACTCTTGTGAAATCACTTATGAGAATTCTCAAGAGTGTTTTTCAACATTGCAGTGCCCTCCCTGGCTTCAACACACTCTCTGCCTGCTCCCCGGCACGTGGGCTGTAAGGGACAGACAGCATCAGAGGACTGAGGAGACAAGAAGGTTACTTGCACGAAGGGGTCTGTCTGTTGCTCCTGGGTGCAGCGGCGGGGATTGCCTGTTGCTACCCATTGCCTGTTGCTACCCATTGCCTGTTGCTACCCATTGCCTGTTGCGACGCATTGCTGAGCCACGAAATGTGGCGTGTGATAGCCCCTGGATTCGTTCGTCCCATCAGAATTGCCTTGCGGCCATTGTTGAATCGACTCAAAAATCGCCTCATCACACGCGGATTGTTGCAGGAAAGAGCGTGTGATTTCAGCACCGCACCTTGTGCACGAAGGGGTCTGTGAGGTCCAGCTCAATGTTTACTGTGGGGTGTCCCCTCTTCCTCAGCTGCATCCGTGCTGCTTGGTATGGGCCATCAAGCATACTGTACTGTGTGGCGTATGACACAACAGACCTCTCGTTTCAGCAGCGCACCTTGTGCACAAAGGGATCTGTGAGGTCCAGCTTTATGCTCACCGCGTGATGACACGCTTTTAGCGGCGCTGAGGGATTGAAGAGGTCGTGGTCTTTCAGCGCTTTACCTTATGCACGAAAGGATCTGTGAGGTCCAGTTCTATGGTCACTGCGTGGTGCCCGTATTTCCTCAGCTTCGCCATGGTGTGGCGTGTGAGACAGCAGACCTCCCCTTTCAGCAACGCACCTTATGCACGAAGGGGTCTGTGAGGTCGAGCTCTATGTTCACCGCGTGATGCCCTCTCTTCCTCAGCTTCGCCATCACCCCCAGCTCTTGGAGCATCGCTTCCATGTCAGAGAGACTGCAGGAACGGGGGAGAAGATGTGTATAAAGGAGGACGCGGGAGCAGTGAGATGAGAGATCAACCACCTACCTCCCAGCTTCGCCACCACCCCCAGCTCTTGGAGCATTGCCTCCATGTCAGGGAGACTGACTGCATGAAAAGGGGAGGGAGTGAGGGGAGGGGAGAGACGCGCATGAGCAGGAAGAGTCAGGTCAACCACTTGTCGCTCAGGTTCTCCAGCATTCCAAGTTCTTGCAGCATGCCCCGCACACGCACACACACACTCAACCCATCGGCACCTGTACATATCCAGGAATTTCCCCGAGCTGGAGTGTGCCGTGTGGATGGACGAGATGAGATGCGGAAAACACACGCAAAAGTGCACACCCACACATTCACATACCCACACCCCGTCCGCACCTGTACTTGTCTGTGCTGTGCACCTCACCTGTACTTATCCAGGAATTTCCCCGAGCTGGAGTGTGCCGTGTGGATGGACGAGATGAGATGCGGAAAACACACGCAAAAGTGCACACCCACACATTCACATACCCACACCCCGTCCGCACCTGTACTTGTCTGTGCTGTGCACCTCACCTGTACTTATCCAGGAATTTTACCGAGCTGGAGTGTGCCGTGTGGATGGACGAGATGTCATCGCTGCTAAACTCGATGTCAAACCCCTTGTCGTCCTTGCGCTTCCCGAACACCATCTCTGCTTGCCCTTGCTTGCCCTTGCTTGCCTCTTTGCCTCTGCCGTTCTGTCTGCCTCTCTTCTTGCCTGCCTGTCTGCTTGCCTGCCTGCCCGCCTGCCTGTTTGGCTACTGTTTCCACCGGTTTCAAGCAAGTTTCCTGCGTTCAACGGCTGCTATCGCCTGTTTTCTCCACCAGATTAAGCAATTTTCCTGCTTGGAGCTGCTGCTACTATCTAGATTTCATATCCCGATTCACCGGATGGCTTGGCATTAGCTGCTGCCAAACTCCTGCCAATTGCTCTCAACTCCTTTCAACTACTTTCGCCTGCTCACCCCGGGTGCTGCTCTCGCCGTTCAGAGTGTGTCGCGTCCAAATAAATAACCCTTAAGTACTTGTACAGAGTGTAAACCACAATGTATTTAGAGGGAAACCCGGAATGCGACCCTGCTGCTATTTACACGAATGCTAACGAATGAACAGGACACAGTTTGTGCTTATATAATTACCTAAGTGTATATGCTCTGGACGTACGACCTTGAGGAGAAAGAAATGGGGAATGATGAGGTGGAAAGGCCCGAGCCAGGTTTAGATTGTGATTCTGTAAGTCGGATTCGGATCCCGATGGAGTGAGAAACTTCGACAGAAATGCAAAACCGGTGGAATCGGGAATGCAGAGTGCTAATTCTCCGATAGTAACTAAGCAAGTGAATCTGTCAAGGCAGCGAGCTCACATACCTACGTAACACGTGGGAAGGATTTTGCTATCCCACCAATGCCGTTGTGAGCCACTCGGCAACAGCTGTCTGGTAAAAACAGTAAACTGTGACGGCACAAAGCTTCTCGCCCTAGAGACTCCGATACCTCTCTGCGAGCCTAGAGGGGTCGCCAGCCGTTCCACCTACCACAGCGTGCGATACTCTCGGATCCAGAACAAAGAGCTCCAGAAAAAGTAGATTCACTACAGCATTCCTCTTATATCTCTGCTACGCTCGATTGTCGTCCCTGAAACTCAAAGCTCGCTGGATTGTTTTTGCTGCTGCATTGCTGCTTGGTGTGTGCAGAGCTTCTTCGTGTAATGTCTGACGTCACACAAATCTCCCTGCCTGATGGTTCACCTGCAAACAGGCAGTTTGGGGGAAGGTTGGTAGTGCACAGGGAAGAAATTTGTCGTTGGTCTTAGAGAGGGTCAGCCATTCATCCTTGAGTAACCAGAGAGTTTTCGTGATTGTCGTTAATCAAAAGACGAGGTGGAAGAGTGTGGTATTGAGCTAGAAACAGGCTACGGTATCACGAATATTCACGAAAAGACGAGCAGTGAACCGCGTTTCCACGCTGACAAAGAAAGGGAGCAAGTCTCTGTTACAACTCCGTTACAAGAGTTTCCGACATTCCAGACCCCGTTCTTGAAAGCAAGGAGTGCGTCATATGGAAGGCTGATAGGAAGCATCTAGGAAGTTGGATGACGTCAAGATCGCGAGCTGACGTGGCTGAGGAGCGCGCTACGGTTGGCGGGAAAGTCTGACACAAATTCGCTTCTAGAAAGTCCGGTACCAGAATCACTCCACGTAACAGCCCTCCTCTGTACACACTAAAGTTCATGAGTAAGATGATCACACCCACCCAAATCCCTAACCAAGTTTCCAGACCACACAATAGCTCAGCCATGCCATATGTAGCCAGCAATGTTCTGCTTCTGTTTCATAAACATATCACATTACAGGGACATCCTTGCTGTGCTGCGCTGACAGGGGATTCTGTGCTACCAAGGCGACCAGCCAAAAATCAAAGGCGAGATGAAGGTGACACATTCCCGCTCGGACTGATCTCAACCACAACCTGAAAAGAAAAGAATCGACCAAGGGGAGGATATAATGTAAAGGCTGTGAAAACACATACCACGAATCACAGAGGGTATATTGCATCACATCCGATCAAAATTACATCCAAGAGCCCACCTAATTCCCACCCACCTTGCCCACGCTGCTCCCAGCTTGCAAGTGCTCTACTGCTGACGGCACTGCAGGAAGGCCCTTGAACGGCGTAGGATCGAGGGCCACCTGCGATGATCGGGGAAGGAAGGATTTGAGATGCCTCAGAACTCGATGATAGACGGACAGAAAGGGGAAGCGAGTGGGAGAGGGACGAGGGCATAGTGTATGGGGCGGGAATCACACGTCTTAGCATATACAACAAGCACAACACGAGAGAGAGGAAGTAGGCAGTGAGCTCGGGGCAAAGAAAAGCAGCCCCCGTCACCCCCGCTACTGCCACGCTGCCTCTATGCTCCCTGAGCAGCACCGTCTATGCCCTCTCCATCTCACCTTGAGCAAGCCTGCTTGGTAGAGGGTGACCAGCTTGGTGAAATGGGAGCGCCAGAGTTGCGGGTAGTGCAGCAGGAAGAAGCACAGCTGGTTTCCCTCCTATCACCCGTCCGTAGCATGCCTATAACCCCACACTGTCTGACCTATCACTCCATCTAACCTTGAGCAGGCCTGCTTGGTACAGCGTGACCAGCTTGGTGAAGTGCAAGCGCCACAGCTGCGGGTAGTGCAGCAGGAAGAACCCAACCTGGGAAGGTAAGGGCGGGAGGATATGGAGATAACTGAGAATGGGTACAAAGGCAGATGGTGGGGATAAGTGCGAGCGCCACAGCTGCGGGTAGTGCAGCAGGAAGAACCCAACCTGGGAAGGTAAGGGCGGGAGGATATGGAGATAACTGAGAATGGGTACAAAGGCAGATGGTGGGGATAAGTGCGAGCGCCACAGCTGCGGGTAGTGCAGCAGGAAGAACCCAACCTGGGAAGGTAAGGGCGGGAGGATATGGAGATAACTGAGAATGGGTACAAAGGCAGATGGTGGGGATAAGTGCGAGCACCACAGCTGCGGGTAGTGCAGCAGGAAGAACCCAACCTGGGAAGGTAAGGGCGGGAGGATATGGAGATAACTGAGAATGGGTACAAGGGCAGATGGTGGGGATAAGTGCGAGCGCCACAGCTGCGGGTAGTGCAGCAGGAAGAACCCAACCTGGGAAGGTAAGGGCGGGAGGATATGGAGATAACTGAGAATGGGTACAAAGGCAGATGGTGGGGATAAGTGCGAGCGCCACAGCTGCGGGTAGTGCAGCAGGAAGAACCCAACCTGGGAAGGTAAGGGCGGGAGGATATGGAGATAACTGAGAATGGGTACAAACGCAGATGGTGGGGATAAGTGCGAGCGCCACAGCTGCGGGTAGTGCAGCAGGAAGAACCCAACCTGGGAAGGTAAGGGCGGGAGGATATGGAGATAACTGAGAATGGGTACAAAGGCAGATGGTGGGGATAAGTGCGAGCGCCACAGCTGCGGGTAGTGCAGCAGGAAGAACCCAACCTGGGAAGGTAAGGGCGGGAGGATATGGAGATAACTGAGAATGGGTACAAAGGCAGATGGTGGGGATAAGTGCGAGCGCCACAGCTGCGGGTAGTGCAGCAGGAAGAACCCAACCTGGGAAGGTAAGGGCGGGAGGATATGGAGATACCTGAGAATGGGTACAAAGGCAGATGGTGGGGATAAGTGCGAGCGCCACAGCTGCGGGTAGTGCAGCAGGAAGAACCCAACCTGGGAAGCATGGGAGGAGAACGGAAACGGAAGCACGAAGAAGGGCACAGTGATAATTGCGTGAGAAGAAGAAGGGCGGGATATGTCCACAAGATGGGCGGAAGGCGAAGCACTGCAAGAAGAAACAAATGTGCACGAGGAGAAGGGAGAAAGGCGGAGGGTGATAAGATAATGAAAGGTGAATTTTGAGTCCACCGATGGTGCTTAGAGGTACAACAGAAGGTGCTCTGAAAGAAAGCCTGAGCTACAGTGTTGTGAAGGGATGTCCTATGTTGTTCAACTAAAGTTGATAAAAGGAGGAGAAGAAGAAAGGTTGGGCAGAGAACCTTGGCTGAAACCAATTGAGGTTGGATGGTGACCAGAAGAATCACACTTCAACGTAGCACATAATAAACCTGAGAGATACAGCTTTCATGTAAACTGCCAATGCACAAACACGCTAGCCTTTAAACTCCAATGCATAGCAGAGTCTGAGAATTGGAGAGCAGGAGCTCACATAGGCCAGGATAGGCCTCGTTCACCCACTGCCCCTTTTACCCAACTTGTGAAGTTATACAAAAATCAACCCCCAAGCACATCAACATCTAGCACCTACCAGTGTCTGAGAGTTGGAGAGCAGGAGCTCACATAGGCCAGGATAGGCCTCGTTCACCCACTGCCCCTTTTACCCAACTTGTGAAGTTATACAAAAATCAACCCCCAAGCACATCAACATCTAGCACCTACCAGTGTCTGAGAGTTGGAGAGCAGGCGCTCACACAGACCAGGATACGCCTTGCTCACCCACTGCCCCTCCTGCCCTGCTGTGTACTGCATGAGAAGTGTGTGAGATAAGTGGGTGGGCGTAACATGCAGAGACAAACAACAAGCATTTTCTTCTTAATTCACTAGGTCACAGAAGCAACGGATTGAGCTGCGTTCCTGGTGCAGCATGCCAGCTGGCCAGGAATTCACAAGAGTAATGTGGGATGGGAACAGTATGAATCCCGAGTAATAGTACAGAGCCACTTCTGGCCACTTCTGAGTAGCAGTCTGATCTTCTTGATACTTTTGATACTTTTCCAAACATTGTTCCGCACACGCCTCACACATACCTGTGACATCATGCCAATCACAATGAGCCTTCCAAATCGGCCGAGCGCCTTCAGTGCAGCAGCGAACATATCTCCTCCCACAGATTCGAACACCACTGCTGCTCCCTGCGCCCCACATGCTCTCTTCAGTGCCTGGTGCGGAAGGGAGGATGGGGAGGAGGGAAAAGAAGGGCGGAAGACGGGAAACGACGAAGAAATATGTAAGTGATTCCTCTACTTTCAGTGCAGCAGTGAACATATCTCCTCCCACGGATTCAAACACCACTGCTGCTCCCTGCGGCCCACAGGCTTGCTTCAGTGCCTGGGATGGGAGGAACGAGAGGATGAGGGATGGAAACATAACGAAACGAAAGGGCGACGAAGCGAGAGTAAAAGAGTACTGAGAGAAAATAATAATAATAATAATAATAATAACAATAATAACAATAATAATAATAGTAATAATAGTAATCATATCAATAATAATAGTAATTGTAATAATAGTAACAATAAAAAAAAACAAGAGTGAGTATGTCGTCTCTTCACCATACGAAAAGTCAACCTTGCTGCCCTTCAATCTTCAAGTAGCCAATAAAAGAGTCCATTCACCCTGACCATGTGACCATGTCCACTTCTGTTCGGTGGGTAACCAAACCACCACATCCGCTCCAAACTACCTCAACATTGCACCTGCTGCATTGTGTTATCTGATCGCAATAACACACTCTCACCCTGGCCATGTCCTTTTCTGTGCGGTGGTTAACCACCACATCTGCTCCAAGGTCCCGCAGCACTGCTGCCTTGCTCTCACTGCCACATGTCGCCACCACCCTGTTCCCTGCCAGCTTCGCCAACTGGTGCATATGGAGTGGGGCGGAAGCGGCGGAGCGAGAGGTGAGTGAGCCGAACAAAAGGAACGAACAGTACGATAATATATATATACATATATATATATATATACACCCCATGTGTTGCCACCACCCTGTTGCCTGCAAGCTTTGCCAGCTGGCTTATCAGGGAGGGGGATGGAAGGATTTAAAGGATCGAGCAGAGACAGAAGGAAGTAGAGGCACACTGACAGAAGCATCGATAGGAAGGGGAGGAGGCAATCTCAGAATTCTCCATTCCACGCATACGAAGTATGGATTCTAAAGAACAGCAAAGAAGGATGCATGATTCGAGAGGATATGGAGAGAAGCAAAGTAGGGACGCAGAAGCGAGTTGAGAAAACCACATGGAAGGTGCACGCTCAATGCTCACGCCCCCTCTACTGCACCTGCTCTCGTATCTCTCACCTGCACTACAAACTGGCCCGTCCCTCCAGCTGCTGCTGTCACCAGCACCGTCTCGCCACTGCCCATGCGGCCAGACTGGAACGGGGAAGCAAGGGCAGAAAGAGAATGGGGTGGAGGCAAGAACTTCAGCCACCCCAAGATGCGAGGCCAGAAGTCAGGCACAGGAGTAATTTATCGGGCATCCACGAGCATGCGCCCAGCAGATGAAATTCAATCCCTCTCCTAGTGTACCTCGGATAGAGCGATGGACACAGTGAGGCCGCTGGTCAACAGAGCCACCATTTGAGGCGAGCAGTGAGGCACAGGAATCACCCATTGGGCATCAACCAACATATACTCAGCGAATGCACCAAATGTGCTGTGCACATGCAAAATGGTCCCCTCCCCCACAATGTACCTCGGACAAAGCGATAGAAGCAGTGAGGCCGCTAGTTAGTAGAGCCACCACTTGAGGCGAGCAGTGAGGCACGGGGATCACCCATCGGGCATCCACCAACATATACTCAGCAAATGCACCATAAGCCAGTGCTGCTGCTGCCTGCCCCACTGCCAGCCCCCCTGCCAGGCTCCCTTTGCTCCCCCTAGCCAGGGATCCTAGACTCTCTTTGGGCTGTGCGCTGGCTGTGCTGGTGCTGCCTGTGGTGGTGCTGCCTGGTAGTGCGACTATCTCCCCCACTGCCTCGAAGCCTGCGTCGAAGGGAAGCTGCTGCGATGCTTCTGCAGGGCTGCCTGCATAACGGCCTGCTGAGTAGTTGACCTGAGGATTAGTGGAAGAGAAAAGGGAAAGAGGGAAAGGGAGGGAGGGATATCTTATTTTTGGGCGCCTAAGAAAAGGCTTCAGCTGAGCTGTCTGCATCACAGCAGGCAGAATAATTGATCTGGGGATTTATGGGGTTGATGGAAAGAAAGGGGAGTGGTGAGAGGAGAGGAGCCAAGAGGGTGGAGATGAGGTGTGAGGAAGGGAGGAGAAGAATGGAAGGAAACAGATTCGAGGGGACGAGTGATTAGAGATGTGGGGAGGGGAGGGTAGAGAGTGGAGAGGCAAGAGGCGAGAGGCAAGGCGGGCGAGGGAGGCGAGGCGAACAATGGGAGAACGATGAGAGGGGCAAATGGATGGGAGTGGAGAAAGAGTGAGGACTGCACTCTCGGGAAGAAATTAAGAGGTGAAGAATTGCAAGATAAAGAGGAGAGATTGTAGAATGAAGAGGTAAATTGGAGCAAAATTCCACAGGAACTCACATCACTGGCATTGACCCCCAGCCATTGCACTAACAGCAGCACCCTTGGTGCTGGCCACATAAGGCATTTGCAGAAGAGGACAGAGGGCACAGCAATCAAGCAGCACTCACATCGCTGGCGTTGACTCCCGCATATCGCACTCGCAGGAGCACCTTCCCTGCTGGCACTGGCAGCGGCAGTGGCGCCTCGATGATGTTGGTGGCTTGTCTGAAGTCCGAGGAGAGGCGCTGCACCACACTGGGGGGAGTAAGAGAGTAAGGGGAAGAAAAACCATGAAAGGACCATCAATGGTTGAGTGCTTCACCTTCATCACACAATTAAGACCACCATCCCATCCCATCCTCTTACCCCCATCACCCCACTGATCACCCCACCCCCATCCACCATCATCCCACCACCACCCGCCACCAACCACCACCCATCACCACCCCGCTCCCATCGCCACACCCATCACCACACCCATCACCACCCATCACCACCCATCACCACCCAACTCACAGCTTCCGGAAATTCAAAGGCAGCCCACTCGCCACACCCACACGAAGCTTCCAAGAAGCTTCACTGCCATCTGCCCCCAAACCAGCACCCCTCCTCACACGTGGCATAGCACCCAATGCAAACGCTCCTCCACCATCACTTGAATCATGTTTTCTGTCACTTCCTTTGTTGTCACCCCCTTTCCTATCACCTCCCCCAGGTGTGCCTGCCACCAGGTAGCGCCTCTTTTCCTCCTCAGTCGGCCACCACTGCTTGCCCAGCCGGTTGGTGATCCACATGCACTCGCCCGCCCTCTGTTCATCTTCTATCAACTCGGCTAGGCCTGGGTGGGGTAAATGGGAGGGTAGGGCGACATGCATGCAGTAGCAAGTGATGCATGGTAAGAACGTGGAAGGTGTGTTTGATCTTCAGTCGGCCACCACTACTTGCCCAGCCGGTTGGTAATCCACAAGCACTCGCCCGCCCGCTTCTCATCTTCTATCAACTCCGCCAGACCTGTAGGTAGACAAGCGGAGGGGAGGTGGGGGGGAGGGGGGAGGAAGGGAGTCGAGATGGACTTGCAATCCACATGCACTCGCCCGCCCTCTTCTCATCCTCTATCAGATCCGCCAGATCTGGAAGGAAGTGGGGAGGGGGGAGTGGGAGGGGGAGGGAGGTATATAAAAAAGGGGGAATACAATGGGATTGGCAGGTGTGCGGCCTTCCCATCTATCAGCCATCGCAAACAAACGTGCAGATTGCAACCCAGGATTGTGCATAGCTGCACTTCACAATCCCAAAACCCACCCACCCAAAGTTAACCATGGTCCATAGAGAAACGAAGCCCCCTAGGGAGGAGACCACCTTGGGGTGGGGAAACGTGCACCGTGGCAAATGGCTCACACAACTACACACACAGTTACCATTTACACACACACCCACCCACCCATCCATCCACCCACCGTCAACGATGGTGCCCATGGGAATGAAGCCGCCTACCGAGGCAACCACCTTGGGAAAATGTTTGGCCGCCTGCCCTGTGACCTGGGTCACCAGTGGGGTTTCGATGAACTGGGAGGTAGAGCAGGGGACACGGGGAAAAGAGGAGGAAAGGGAGGAGACACGGGAGCAGGATGAAGTTGAGTTGAATAGAGTGGGAGATGAAGCCTGGCGGCCTGCCCTGTGACCTGCGTCACCAGAGGGATTTCGATGAACTGGGAGGCAGAGCAGGGGATAAGGGAGAAGGCAAGGAGGAGGGAGCAAGGTACGAGACATGGGGGGTGGGAACAACTTGAGTGTGTGTTGCGTGCAAAACATGTGGGCCATGTGATGCAGTGGGAGTGGGACATATGGAAGTTACCTCAGGGCAGAGGGCGTTGATACGAATGCCACTGACAGCAAGATGAGCCAATGAACGTGTGAACATGACCACTCCAGCTGCGCTCATACAGTCACATCATGTATGCAGTCACATCGTGCATGCAGTCACATCACTCATAGTCAAACCATGCATGCAGAGTAACATTGGAACAATCACAGACCAGGCAGGAGAAGGGAGCAAACATGAGCTACATCGTGGCATGACACTAGGACCTGATTGACAATGCGTTTGACTCACAAGAAAAAAGAAACAGAACACAGAATGCACGACGAAACACCAAGCACGGAGCTTTCTTGTGGCATAAAGCACTGGACATCTAAAAACGATCAGCATGCAGGAAAGGAAAGGACAAAGTGACTTTTGAATCGACTCAAAAGTCACCTCATGCAGGAAAGGAAAGGACAGATCACACGAGTCCACCGGTCGCAACACTGTCGCAGAATGTCAGATTGATAGCAAGAAAGGAGACATTAGGACGAGGGACGGGAGTGATACAGTGACCAAGCAAGGAGGAGGAGGTGTCACCTTTAGATGCGGCATAGATGGGGCCGCTGGGTGAGGGGTACAGCCCTGCTGCTGATGCCACGTTCACGATCACGCCACTGTTTCTGCCCTTTGTGCCTTTTCCAGACTGCATTGCATGCACCTGGGGTCGAGGACCAAGGAAAAAAAAGAGGGGGAAATAATGGAATTACAGCAACAGAACAAAACAAACAAACAAACAAACAAACAAACAAACAAACGAACGAACAAACAAACAAACAAACAAACAAACAAGCAAACAAACGAGCAAACAAACAAACAAACAAACAAACAAACAAACGAATGGCAGCAGGAGCCCTTTCAGCAAGGCAGGTGGTGGTCAAAGCCAGCCATGTCTGTGGACCATGGTGTGGTGATTAACCCCCACACATAGCACCAGAAGCACTTGCCTTCAAAGATAAGCAAATAGGTGCGCCACAGAGTACAAGGGTAACAAGCCAACAAACAGCAAGGCGAGTGCCGTCCACCACAGCCCTCAAATTGACGTCCAGCACGTGGCGCCAGGAGGAGCCCTTGGCATCAGTGAGTGAGAGGGCTCACTTGGTTGTGACAAGGGAGTGGTACACATACCGCAAGGTGTGTCCCGTCCACAACAGCCCTCAAATTGACGTCCAGCACATGGCGCCAGGAGGAGCCCTTGGCATGAGTGAGTGAGAGGGCTCACTTGGTTGTGACAAGGGAGTGGTACACATACCGCAAGGCGTGTCCCGTCCACAACAGCCCTCAGATTGACGTCCAGCACATGGCGCCAGGAGGAGCCCTTGGCATCAGTGAGTGAGAGGGCTCACTTGGTTGTGACAAGGGAGTGGTACACATACCGCAAGGCGTGTCCCGTCCACAACAGCCCTCAAATTGACGTCCAGCACATGGCGCCAGGAGGAGCCCTTGGCATGAGTGAGTGAGAGGGCTCACTTGGTTGTGACAAGGGAGTGGTACACATACCGCAAGGCGTGTCCCGTCCACAACAGCCCTCAAATTGACGTCCAGCACATGGCGCCAGGAGGAGCCCTTGGCATCAGTGAGTGAGAGGGCTCACTTGGTTGTGACAAGGGAGTGGTACACATACCGCAAGGCGTCTCCCGTCCACAACAGCCCTCAAATTGACGTCCAGCACATGGCGCCAGGAGGAGCCCTTGGCATCAGTGAGTGAGAGGGCTCACTTGGTTGTGACAAGGGAGTGGTACACATACCGCAAGGCGTGTCCCGTCCACAACAGCCCTCAAATTGACGTCCAGCACATGGCGCCAGGAGGAGCCCTTGGCATGAGTGAGTGAGAGGGTTCACTTGGTTGTGACAAGGGAGTGGTACACATACCGCAAGGCGTGTCCCGTCCACAACAGCCCTCAAATTGACGTCCAGCACATGGCGCCAGGAGGAGCCCTTGGCATCAGTGAGTGAGAGGGCTCACCTGGTTGTGACAAGGGAGTGGTACACATACCGCAAGGCGTGTCCCGTCCACAACAGCCCTCAAATTGACGTCCAGCACATGGCGCCAGGAGGAGCCCTTGGCATGAGTGAGTGAGAGGGCTCACTTGGTTGTGACAAGGGAGTGGTACACATACCGCAAGGCGTGTCCCGTCCACAACAGCCCTCAAATTGACGTCCAGCACATGGCGCCAGGAGGAGCCCTTGGCATGAGTGAGTGAGAGGGCTCACTTGGTTGTGACAAGGGAGTGGTACACATACCGCAAGGCGTGTCCCGTCCACAACAGCCCTCAAATTGACGTCCAGCACATGGCGCCAGGAGGAGCCCTTGGCATGAGTGAGTGAGAGGGCTCACTTGGTTGTGACAAGGGAGTGGTACACATACCGCAAGGCGTGTCCCGTCCACAACAGCCCTCAAATTGACGTCCAACACGTGGCGCCAGGAGCCCTTGCCATCTCCTGACGTGTCCTTGAGAAACCAGTCTCTCTCGCCTATGCCCGCGTTGTTCAGGCACACGTCAAGACGGCCACACCATTGCATGTGCGAGGCGAATGCACGGGCCAGGTCAGCTGGGGATTCATGGAGGGAGGGAATGATAACAATTGGAGGTAGAAACAATGGTCAACAGAAAGGGACGAGCAGAGCCAGTCCCTCTCCCCTATGCCCGCAATGTTGAGGCAGACATCGAGACGGCCGCACCATTGCATGTGTGTGGCGAATGCACGGGCCGGGTCAGCTGGAGGGAGGGGGGGTTAGTGAACGGGAGAGAATAGAGAACAGGAGAATAGCAAACGGGAGGAGTGACGATGAAGTGGAGGATGGATAACAAACGCTGTTCATGAGAGCTAAAGGAGCAGAGAAACCAGTCTCTTTCCCCTATGCTCGTGTTGTTGGGACAGACGTAAACACGGTCACATCATAGGATGTATGGGGCGAATGCACGGGCCAGGTCAACTGGAGAAAGAGGTCAGCAAGGAGGAACCAAGGAGAAACCAAAAAGAACTCATCTTGGTTACTTGCACCTTATACACAGATTCGGATACATGCAAAAGGTGTAGATAAGGGCCCATTCTTGTGCCGAACGCTTCTTACAAGGCTTGCTGACGTCACACTGGACGAATCTCACTGCATCTTGCTTCCCCGTCTGCTCTCCAATCAGCCGCACTGTTTCCAGCCCGCCTGCCTCTGAGAAATCCACAACGGTCACCCGGAGCCCCTTAGACGCCAGATACTGGGAAGCCGCTCGGCCTGAGAAAACAGAGAATAAAGAGAAATCAGGAAATCCTTAGACGATGAAATCTCTCTCCGATCAGCCGCACCGTCTCCAGCCAGCCTGCCTCTGAGAAATCTACAACGGTCACCCGCAAGCTGTTGGACGCCAGATACTGAGAAGCAGCTCTGCATGAGAGGCAAACGATGAAGAAATCGTAGAATAATCAGAGAGCATAGAACTATAATCTCTGCAACACGGATAAGAAATTTGATGGATTTATTCAAAACTGCAAGGTTCATGATGCATGACCTTCATCCAATGAATGGCATGATGATAAGCTGAGCTGAGCATTGTCTTTCTAAGCCAAGATAAAGAAGGGAAGAGAACAGAAGAAAGAGAGGCGAAGAGAAAAGATAGAAGGCGGAACGGGGTTCAACTTGAATTGCGAGTGAACCAATTCGTGCAGACTACCTTGGTGTACTGAATGCTTGGACTGACCGCTTCGTATGATATACCTCTGGTATCAGTAACAAATTTGCAGTGAGTGAAATTTACAGTCGACTCAAACGAGCTGTAATTGCAAACAGTAATCTTCTTGCGTTACGATTCTCGAGCCTGCTTCCCGTGACCAGCGCTGCCATGCCGTCAGTGAGCTTCATGACCGGCGATTGAAAATGCACAGCAAAACATTTTTAGTCGACTCAACAAGTAAGAAACGCACAGAGAACTCTGTACGCGTACCTATGCCCGAGCCTGCTCCCGTGACCAGCGCTGCCATGCCGTCAGTGAGCTTCATGGCCGACAATTTAATCAGAGCGCTCTGAATTTGACGACGTCCTGATGGAATAAAAGCACCGCGATCAGGATTCGTAAAAAAATCGACGAAAGTAGCGTTTGGCAGGGCGAAACGTGAGGAACGGCAAGTGAAGAGTCGGAACGCAACGGACTCTTGAGACGCCTCGGGATTGAGCACTCGATGAACTATAAAAGCAGAGGGGCGAGGCGATGCGAGAGGGCGAAGGTGGATTCGCTCTAATCAACGAACCAGTCAATGCGCGGTGGTCACGGAGAAGACGGAATGGCTGTGTGAGAGCTCGTCCCTGCCTAGACTGCTGTCTGGTGGAAGCCAAGTTGGTCGCCAGAGGCAGAAATAGCTGTTGGAAGTTCGTGGCTTGAAGCAGACGAGTTGACAAATTCGCGGGATTACCAGAGATAAACGAGATTACGGTAATGGTGCTGTAGCGCACTGCATTGACGTTGTATACGTACCAGAAGTTAGAAGTTCATTTAAACCGTATTGAAAAATGCAAACACGAGAAGTGTGACTTAGCATTTACATCTTGATTCCCATTTACCAGTTGATATGCATACAAATTCAACCAAAACTTTTGCCTTAATTTCCTCAACCTAGACATATACAACTACCACTAGGTAGGGAACACTTGGTCATGTCAGATGGCAACTCGTGGATCAGAGAATGAACTTTGACCTGCTTTGCAGGTCATTCTTGGTTTCAGGTTGGGGCCCCAAGGCCCTTGCTTCCGCTGCTACTTCTCTGGCAGTAGCAGCCGCCCGATTGGCTGCAGCCACCACATCAGACAAGCTCTCATCCGAACCCAACAGTGCTTCTGCCCTCTTGTTCGCCCTCCTTGCAGCCTGCAAGTGAAGTCAGGAGCCAAAAGACATGGTGAAAGGTGAACGGTGAGTAGTTAGGCCATGAAACATTGTACAAGGAAGAACACAACAAGCCTTCGGGAAAAATGAGCGCCTAGGAAACAAAAGCGTCCAGATTTACAAGAAGCCACACTCACCTCAACAGCTGCTAGGACTTTAGCAGGGTCCACTGATGGCCGCCCATTGACTGGAGACTGGCCCGCTGTGAGTGCTGGTGGTGACATTGCTGATGGTGATGCTGCTGCTGAGAAGGCTGAGGGTGATAATGGGCCTGAGGATGCACCCCAGCTGCCGGAGTCCGAAAGAGAGTCAGAAACCGCGTCAAATGCAGAGGCAGAAGGAGCAGCAGAGTTAGCAGAGGGAGCTGAGCCGGCAGCGGCAGTGGTGGCAGCGGCACAATTGGTGGCAGAGGCAGGAGCGGGGTCACAGCAGCGTGTGAGGAGCGCTCCCAGGTGCCAGTGGCCCATGAGTGAGTCCCCACTGCGGAAGGAGTATCGCCCCAGCCCCTGCTTGCACCCGTCGTGCCACGCGCCCTCGTAGCACTGCCCGTTGCTGAAGTTGTACACGCCGTACCCGTGCATGGCGTCGCGGAAATACTCCCCCGCATAGGTGTCTCCGTTCCTGATAGGAAGGAGACGAACAAGAGGGAGGGAGAATAAGGGGAGGGAGGATAGTGTCAGAAGCCCGTTGCTGAACGTATACCTGCCGTACCAGTGCATGGCGCCGCGGAAATAGCGTAGGTGTCACCATTTCTGGTGAAGAGGAAGGGCATGGAGATAATGAGAAGACAGGGTGAATAAGAGGAGGGAAGGCAGTGTCAGAAGCCCGTTGCTGAACGTGTACACGCCGTATCCGTGCATGGCGTCGTGGAAATACTCCCCCGCGTAGGTGTTGCCATTTCTGGTGAGAAAAGAAGCTTAGGGATAAGGGGAGGGGAGGCATTGTCAGAGGGTCCTTGCCCAACATGTACACACGTTCTTTCACAATTACTCCTTTCAGTCAGAAAATGATATTCCTTGGAGCCACATGCCTCTCAACTCTTCCCAATGGCTAAGTTGTATCGTTCAAAGCTTTCCTTCAACCTGTACGAGAATTGCCTCGCGTACGTGCGTCCAGGCATCATGGATAAAGAGAGCGGAACCTCACGGTGCAAGCAGGTACAGACAGATTCGAATCGGTACCTGAAGGTGTAGATCCCGAAGCCGTGCTTGAGCCCGTACGAGAACTGCCCCGCGTACGTGCTCCCATCCGCGCACATCTGCAGCCCCGCGCCGTGGCTCTGCCCGCGCGCCCACGCGCCCGCATACGCGTCCCCCGTGTGGAACTGGTACAGCCCCCGCCCCTCGCGGTATCCGCGTTTGTACTCGCCTCGGTACACGCTGCCGCTCTCCCACGACTCTACACCCAACCCGCTGTATTTTCCGTCCGCCCACTCGCCTTCAAATTTCCCAGCAGCTTCGTCGAAATAGTACACTCCGCTTCCGGACGCTACCCCGTCACGCGTCTCGCCTTCGTATCTATCCCCGTTAGTGTACCGCCTCACTGTAAGACATAACGCGTCGTCAACAGCATCTCCGGACTTTGATAGGCTTTTGCAGGTTTCGCTGGGCCGCAAATAGCTCAAAAAATCCGCGGAGCCGGCGGAAGATCGCTCCGCCAGATGCGCGGAGCTGCGCCTCCCGCGCGGAGAAGGCGAAAGCTGCGCCTGCCACCACTCCGCGCGCCAAAACCCTCCGCCGAGCCCCATCTTGGCGGCTTTTCCGCAGAGGTCACGCATGAACGCGGACCCCCCCGACGCGCAGCCACTCCCCCCCCCCGAACCCCGCCCGCGACCGCGATCTGCGGAAAGCAGCGCCGCGAGTGGGAGGCTCATATGTGGATGGCGCCGAATCAGGTGGATAATGGCGAATCGCGTCAAAGCGGCAGTGCCGAAAAAGAGGAAGAACAGGGCGGTGAGGTCCAGCCACGCGGCAGTCGTTGATTGGTAGACGGAAGACGTGGCACCAGCGGGGAGCTTTGGGAAAGGGAATATGCCGCGGTGGAGAGGAGTTCGAGCCGGTAACCCGCCGCGGACGAGCAGCACGAGGATAGCGACGGCTCCGAAGCCGACGATTGGTAACACCTGCAAGTTCGAATATGAGACAGTTGGGAAAGGGTGTGAGACGAGATTTTGAAGTGTGGGGAAAAGGAGAGAGAGAGAGGAAGGGCAGGAGGGCAGGGAAGGGGCGTTGAAGAGTGGGGGGACGGATGCCAGCAAGAAAAGAGCGCGCGACGTATGGAGCTACAAGTACGATTACCTGCTTGAGGTCATGTGGATGAGCAAAAAGTACCTGCTTGCTGGATCGAGCGCGGCTCGGCAGATAGTGGTCGGCGTTTCCGTGCTCGTGCGAATCCTTCGGTATCGACACGCAGCACGATCCGCACGGCGACCTTTTGCAGCAATCGCCCTTGGCGAGAGCATCCACGCTAAAAAAATGCCCGCTATAAGCATCCGCGTGACTCATTACAGGTACGTAAAGGTGTGTCTGTAACCAGGAGATTCCCTGTTTAACGAAGGACGCGGTGTGAGTGACGCCGGGTAGAGTTAAAAGCTGTCTTTGGATAAAATCGGAGTCAAATGAACATAGCTTCTTGATCAGCGCTCTCGACTGTCCTTTAGTGTCTAAGAATAAAGCCGCTATGACGAGCGATATCGGAAGGTTCTCGGATGCTGCGTCATCGTAGACCTCATCGTCGCCGTTTCCATCCTCCCTATTATCCTCCTCGATAACGTAATTCGACGAAACGCAATTACCCGCATCCGCGCTATTCTTCCTGGCCTCGCCAGTTACCCGCGAAGGGGATGTAGCGTGAGCGACGCGCCTGCGAGGCCCGGAACCGTGCTCCGAATGCGGAGCACAGTAAACTGAAACCGGCTCACGGAGCGAAGCGTCGCACTCAAACTCGTCGGACTCTGAATCAATCTGGAAACAGTTTCGCGCTCGAGGAGCTTCGCTGGGTGATTTCTGAGATTCAGCCGCAGGGTGTGCGATGCCCTGTTGGCCGGAAAACGAGCTTCTGTGCATACCTCTCACTTCAGCTCCGCGAGGAAAAGAAAACGATGTTTCAAACCTAAAGAGCTCCTCGAGATGTATTGTTGGGGAAGACGGAGGATAACAGAGCACTCGGCGGCACAGCACTAGACGATTGGGGTGGATGGGATATGACGTGATGACTGGTGGGACTAGAAAAGAGGGTTGGAAAAATGGCAAAATGTACAGAGGGAGCGCCGCATTTGGCTTTCTCGGGACACGCGACGCGAAGCCGAAGGGAGCAATCTACCTAGAACACTAACACGACATATTTCTATGTCGAGGTTTGTCGGGTTGAAGGGGGTAATGTGAGGCGGCGACGGAGGGCGAAGTTTGTATTTCACGACTGGCGAATTGTGATGTGATGGGTATGAGCACCTGCTGATGGGAAGCTTTCTGGGGCGGTTGGTTACAATAGATTATGGTACAGTACGTCACATTCAGGTTTTCTTTTGGCAACGCCGAAATTGAAGGAGTTTACGAGAGAAGGGAGGAGTAGCAGATTTTAGGCGGTGCGGTGATGAAGATTTGGGCTTTCGATTCCAGGCGGGTGTTGCTGTGGTGTGGGTCAGTGTGAATGCCAGCCGCAAAGGAGAGATTTGCCGTTGCTGAGGTGTACTGAGTCGACGCTGACGACAGCAGCATGAGTCACTGACAGTGAATGGAGTGGAGGGCGTCGGTGTTTGGGCAAGGGCGGTTGCGAAGTGCAAAGCTGAATGGACGGACGGATTGAGATTGGGCCCACAAGCATCAAATTTTCAACGAATTGATTGGACCTTCAGGCCTGAACCATGTCATGCTGACGAGAAAACACGCTGGAACAAGAGAAGTGGAGCCGCAAGTGACAGCCCCACTGGAGTTCTGGAAAGTCAATTCGACGTGTCACCCATAGATTTGGGAGACACAGTGACCACGAACTGCTTTGACACGTCCTCTTTGCAAACGCTCCAACCAAGGATGAGCATTAACGCGCCGGCCACGCGAGATTTGTAAACGAACGACGTGGAACCACGGAAAGAAGCACGAAACTTGCGTGTGACTGAAGAATTCCTAGAAGCCGACTTATGCCCTTTACAAGCACGTAGAGTCTAGGGTATACAGAAATCTGTATGCCCAAACCTACCATACCATCCAAGTCTATCATGCATGAACAACGTATGCTTGGATAACAAAGTGATCCCTGCAAAATTAGCCTGGTTACAAAGACATTCACATTGAAATAGTTCCATGCTTATTCAAGCATGGAACTAATTCAGAGCTTTTATGTGGAATATAGCAAGAACTTTATTAACAATGAGCATTACCACCAAGGCCATTTTTTTTATTTTGGCTACTCACGATTAGCAGTGTAGACATTTTCAAAACCCTTCTGAGCAGTGTGTCCTTTTTGGAAACACTAATGGATCAGTGTAACTTGAAGTTTTGAATTTTTTACCCAGAGGCATCAGTGTAGGTATATTTTTTACCCTGATTGTCCTATAGGCACCTCAGTACCGTATGTGCTGGCAGCAACCAAGCTCGAGGCCCACATTGTGCAAGATTACTAATCCTGCGCAAGTTGGGCTGCTGGTGGGTGGGAGTTGTAAGCTCAAAAGTTGAGCGCAGTGGCTTGTCTGGTTTCGCTGCAACACTTGTTTTTTTCGCCAAGTCAGCAAGCTTCCCGGGGGGAACGTGTGTTTGGGGACCTCGAGTGTTGGAAGCATATACTTCGCGCTTCTGATGTGTCGAGCACTACAACAAAAGCGAAGCGAACTGTGTCAAGCTTGCGGCGAAGAAATCCATATTCCGATGGCATGCCCTTCAGCACGTGAGCGGCAAACGTGGCCATGTGGACCTCTTGTCCAATGGTCAGCAGCTCCGCTCGGATGGTGCGGGCCCTATTGCAGTAGGATTCCGCCGTCTCATCATCTCCCTTCCTGAGTTGGGCTAACTGGGTCTGAAGTAGGGAAGTGTGGAGGGCATCACGAGCTTGATAAGTAGACAAGATATATGCCCCTGCTAGCTGCCTGGCTTTCTCTTGCTGAGAGAAGCCAGAGATAGACATTCGGATGGGTGGAGAAACAAAGCAGTTCAGCACCATGAATGCAAGCATTTGGCCCTTTGCGTACTCCCTTCGTTGCAAGGGGTTATTCGGGGCCGGGCTTGGTGCTGTCCCGTTGCAAAACTGCCACAAATCAGCACATTGGAGCTGAGTTCGGATGGCGCTGACCCACGCGGTAAGGTCGTGCCTTCCCTCCAGCAGCAGCGTCACGGAGATGTGCTCAACTCCAAACTTGAATTGACCGTAGCTCGTCCCGATCAATCCCATGTCGATGGTAGGTGCAACAGCTCCTCCACCAATGCCCACGGCATGAGAAGCCTCGTTCACAACTCCTCCTTCACCGGTTCCTCCTTGCTGGCCGCTCGCAGGTGCTTGCTCCGCCGCGCGCTCCTGAACCGTCCACAATGAGGTCGACCTCCTCATTACGCAAGTTAGAGTGGTGCTCACGAACGGACACCTCCAGCTCCTGACGGGCATTCATGCCCTCGGCACTCGTTAACCACTCCATCCGCGGTCAAAACGAGCGTCGGCCACACCAACGTGGGAACGAAGTGATGGGAGGACGGAATCAAGCTGCTAGTTGGATCGACGCAGATAACGCAGCTCTGATACCATGTAGAATTCCACTACTACAGCAGCTTGATAGAGCTCGAAAGCACGATTCCAACGCACCAAAGATTGCAGGAAACGGTCCAGTGCTAGAGATACACACAAACATGTCAAACTTATATCTGCTATGGTCTATTTAGGCTGTAGTGGGGTAGCTCTTAGTGGGTACAACACTTATGTGTTTCCTATATGTACCCATCTCATTTCTAGTTCATTCATTCTTTCGTCTATCATTCTCACATGGTATAGAGCTAGTTTCGAGATTTTTTAAAAAGGGCCCACCACTGAAATTTCTCCCCTGCCTACTTGCCGCGCGCTTCGCGCCTTCCCTTCGAGGCCCGTCACGGCCCCTGCGCCCGCCCTTAGAGCCTGCGCCCGCCCCGTAAGGCCCCTTAAGGCCTCGTTAGGCCCCGTAAGGCCCCTTTAGGCCCCGTTTAGGGCGCGGTTTAAGGCCCCGTAAGGCCCCGTTATGCCCCGTAAGGCCCCGTCAGGCCCCGTTCGGCCCCGTTTAAGGCCCCGTTAGGCCCCGACAGGCCCCGTTAGAGGCCCCGTACGGCCCCGTCAGGCCTCGTTAGAGGCCCCGTACGGCCCCGTCAGGCCCCATTTGGCCCCGTTTAAGGCCCCGTAAGGCCCGTCAGGCCCCGTCAGGCTCCTTCAGGCCCAGTTAGAGGCCCCGTAAGGCCCCGTTAGAGGCCCCGTAAGGCCCGTCAGGCCCCGTTATAGGCCCCGTCATGCCCCGTTATAGGCCCTGCACGGCCCCGTTATCGGCCCCGTACGGCCCCGTTATAGGCCCCGTCAGGTCCCGTTATAGGCCCCGTCAGGCCCCGTTATAGGCCCCGTTCGGCCCCGTCAGGCCCCATTTGGCCCCGTTTCAGGCCCCGTAAGGCCCCGTTATAGGCCCCGTACGGCCCCGTTATAGGCCCCGTCAGGCCCCGTTATAGGCCCCGCACGGCCCCGTTATAGGCCCCGTACGGCCTCGTTATAGGCCCCGTCAGGCCCCGTTATAGGCCCCGTTCGGCCCCGTTATAGGCCTCGTCAGGCCCCATTATAGGCCCC